CGGAGGTGCGTCGGCATTTATTAACGACTACTTCCGATGGCGCGTGGGGCTCGGCCGAGGAAAACCTAGCCAAGATACAGTCCGAAGATGTCCCTCGTATCGAGGAGTGGGCACGGCGGACCGGATCCTGCTTCGCGGCGGAGAAAACAGAGCTTACCCACCTCATTAGGAAGAGGGGAGAATACTTACAACGACAGATCAGCTTCGATGGCGCCGACGTCAAGCCGTCGCCAACAGCCAAACTGCTAGGGGCGGTGTTCGACCAGGGACTTCGCTGGAAGGAACACGCTCAACAAGCGATCAAACATGCCACTAAGACGACCCTCGCTCTCAGTGGCCTACGATAATTGCGTCCAGAACAAATACGACAGCTCTATCAAGCATGTGTCACACCCATCGTAGACTATGCATCGACGGTCTGGCATGACCTGCTCCGAGACAAAACTCATCTCCGCCATTTAAACACAGTTCAGAGAACCGTCTTGATCCGAACTCTATCGGAGTTCAGGACGGTGGCAACCACAACACTAAAGGTCGAAGCCCACGTACTACCCACGCACCTCCGTCTTCGCTACCGAGCGCAACGCACACCAAGTGATGGATAGAGCTTCTCCAAGGTGGAGCAAGGAGTAGTCGGGAACCAATCATACGTTGGATCCTCTGATCCATTGTTACTCCCCCTTTTATGTTTTCAAGCGTACTTCGTGCGTGATTTCCCAGCTCGCTGTCAATCGCTCCTTGAAAAGTAATTGTATTGATTTGATGATGTCCCTCCATCACGCCGTTGATTCCCGCAGGAGTGGCAGGACGACTACCTAGATGGAAAGATGCCTTCGCTGACGTATCGCGACTGGCCATCAGACAAGCATTAGAGAATGGATGGAAGCCTCGTAATATGAAGTTTAATGTTGAGTCCTCTTTAATTAGAGACAATGAAAATAAGATGGGGAAAAACGACAAAGAAATCAAGTTGTGTGGGATTGAAAAAGAGGAAAGCCTTAATCTTCCAGACATTGTAAAGTTGGCTATCAAAGAAAAACATTAGATATGAAGCTACGTCTACTGGACCCTGGATCTACAATCAATCTATTGATACGTTCTGAATTGCACCTGAATATACAAACAAAAAGAATTATCCCCAAGGCCACAAATCACCGAGCTCGTAATCGCTTTGACCGACGTGGTGTATGTTTGATAGCGGACGTATTCATTTTGCCTGATGGTCCTTTACCCTTCTGCTGCCCCCCAAACTGCTCTTCTGGGCGCCAAATTTTTCGAGACGAGCGCGTCGCATGCTGTGATGAAGATTCCAGCTTAGGACCAGGCTCTATATTTGCCGCCTTTGCTGTTCCCCTCGTCACTCGCCGTGCAGAAATCTCCGCCGAATTTGAGTCAGTGGTCGTCACTAGGCATCCAGAAGGGGAGGCGGAAATGTCGGTTGTTGACGGGCAGGCTGATGGCTTCACGACGGTGATAGGGCCGGGTCTCATCAATCGAGGATCAATGTTTGTCATATCAAAATCGACAGAGGAGGCGGGAGTTTCAGTGCCTTGCCGTTTCTCTGATTCCATAGATGTTTCCCTGGAAGAACCGTCACCGTGGTTAACCGGTGGCCTTTCGGTGAGATGACATAGTTTAATATTGATATCATATTTGTGTTCTTTATTAGCATGGGCTAAAAATTCGGTGATTTTGGCAAACTTGGGAAGAGTGCGACATGCTTCCCAGTTGCAGCTGATCCCGTCGTGTGCATGAAGCAGATGAGAGTCGATGAGATGACGACGAAGTGAGTCCTGTCGCTTGGAAGGAAATTTATGCGGAGGAGGGTTCGACGCCGAGCGACGAGATTCACCAAAGCAGATGATGCAAACATCTGTTGGACATATTTGCGTATCATCATCAGACGCCAGTTGCTCGGGCTGTTCAATAGGTATGTTTGCCTCTTCATCGAGATCCCAATTAACACGGTTGCCTCGCCTGCTCGGCTCGCAAAGCAGTAGAAGCGCAACCATGTCCTTGGTAACCTGAATGCGTCGAGTAAGTAATTTGTCCACATGGAAGTCTTCTGCGTCAGGACCGTAAAAGTTCTCCACAAGCCGAGCTCGTTCAGGAAATACGTAGTCCGGAATAGGGAGCTCCCAGTCTTCTTCAGCGGAACTATCAGCATCGTGTTCCTCAACATCAGATTCGCCGAGAAGCATTTGCTTGATCTGTCGGTCAACTTCAATCACGGGAGCATTATTAAAATAGTCCTTTCTGGCTGTCTCGCGAGTTTCGATCGCCAATGTTTTCCGAAGCTTGGCCAGGTCTTTTTTGATAGTCTCATGCCTTTGGAAGAGGTGTGGAAAGGTATCACGGGCGTTCTTGATTGTGCCAGCCACGGACCGCATCTCCGCCATAAGCTCTCTTTTCTCGCGTCTCAGCTGCAGAATTTCAGGGTTTTGGCAAATAGCACGTTTATGAGCTTCGGTAAGATCAGAGGGTGCCGATAAATCTCTCTTCCTAAGCATGCTCCCGGCGAAGCGTACCAGACCTTCTTGGGAGGGCCGAAGAAGAACGACATGCTGAAGGTCGCGCGCAATAAATTGTGATTGGTAATGTTTTTCAAACACCGCGTCACCAGACTGCCCGAGCACCCTTTTTCGCTCCTGGCTGGTAAAATTTTCTGCGAATAGATAGTCAGCTCCGTTGCGAGTGATCCCATCTATCATACCGAAAATGAATCCATCATATCGCGTTCAGCAAGTGACATACTGTTGACTTCATTTGCCGTCCAGCGGCGGTAATTGTAATGCCCAATATCGTCTTCAAATCTAGCATCTCGACCCAACTCCTTGAGCGCCTGTCGACTTGAATCATAGGTCATTGGCAAAGACCCATCGAGTCTGTAGCCGTATGGAGTGCGTCCAAGACGTCGAAGGAGAGGCACATTAAGAACCTCGGGCTTCCACCGGAGGGGAAGAGATGAATTGCCTCTTGGAACTCGTAGCCGCCAAATGAGCTCTGGTGTGAGGTCGGCATTGGCAAAAGCTCCATCGCGGAAAGCGAACGCAATGATCTGAGTTATCGGGCAATATGCCAGTTGATAATCGCCGTGCATGAAGAATTTGGTTCTGTTGGCAAGGATCAGTATCGAAGTTGGTTCATGAGAAATTCGAATCAAAATTTCAGCTTACCCATCAGCGCCTTCCGGTCGACCTTTGAGATTGCGAAACTCGATGATGGCACAGAGGACATCACGTTTACTTTGAAGGTCTTTCAGGTAGAAAAGTTCGATATCGCGATAGCAGACCGAGTCCGGAAGATCTTTCAAGGAAATGTGCTTTGGAAGATCACTCTGGAAGGTGTCATCCCGTTTGCGTTTGCCCAAAACTGGATTGCCAGGCGACGATGTGTCTTGAGGAAGCAAGACACCAGGTCGCGTGCCTGTAATGGCGGACCAGAGCTGGACTGTAGCAAACTGAACAATCATGCTCCCGTGACGAAAGAATCTCGAATGGACCCAGTGATGCCGGTAAATCACACCAAAAGCATCCACATCTAGAGTATTTTTGTCCTTTGTTCGTCGGGGAATTTTGCGCTCGGCTGGGAATACACCTTCGAGAAACTTTTCCAAGGTAAGCATACTCTGTTTAGGAACAGACAGGATATAACTTACTCGTCGCATCTGTTGACGGGCATCCTCACCGACACGGCGACGGGCGAATAGCTCGAAGTATTGACAAAGGCGTCGCCAGTATTCATCATATGACTGAAGCAGTTTCTTTCGTGATGTTTTGAACATCCAATCAAAAAAGTTCATGTAGATCGTCTGATCCTCCAAAAGAAGAAAGTCCACATAATCCTCGTTCGATTGAATGCAATATCTATTCCCGTGTTATTCTCAGTCACAAGACTTTTCCCGACCAAGTGAGCACTCACTTTCGCCAATAACGTTCGACGACAGCTATGCCTTCTAAGGTCTTTGGCTTAAAGTTTGGAGGGAGCCATCCAAGACTGCGAAAATGTTCCAGTCTGGCTCGAGTTTCCTCGCAAAGAATGGGATCGGTCCAGTATTGGTGCTCATCAGTTTGAGCCGGATGTACAGGCGTAGGTGCCATGGAGGAAGTCAGATACAAAGACCAGGGTGGAAAATTCGTGATATGGGAAACGACAACGTAAAGGTCGGCTTGAGGCGTGCGCAACGAGGATGAGAGAATGGGAGGTGCGAGGACACCGGAAGGGAGGGAAGGCGAAGCATCTTATAGGCGCTCAAATGAACTGGGCGAAAAGGGAGGGGACTTAGATTCAGCCGAAAGGGAGCCATTTTCGGCGTCGTCTTGGTCGCCAGTGGAAACGAGGGGAACAACTGTGCAAGTCGAGCGTCAACATCAGGACCGGAGGATGACTAACAGTGCTAGGTGGGTGCAGAATAGTGGTGTTCCAGGGCAGTGGGCGGTCAAGGGGCGGCTGGACATTCAAAGTTACGGGTGGAAAGGAAGCCGTTTCTGGCGTCAAAAGTGGTCATTTTCGGCGTCATTTTCACAGGTCCTCATATTCTATGTGTAATGTTGAGGGTTCACAATGCCTTAAGCCACAGACCAAGATGCTGGAGAATAGCTGTCTCCCGAATGATGGAATTATGTGCAGTGTACAATGCAAGCGATGAATCTTGTAGTGATGAGGTAAATTTTATATTGGGATTCAGTTAGAAAGTTCATATACAGGCCAAGCACGCTAGTCCCAAACAGGCTGAGTGCAGAAGAACAACAGAAGATGATAATTGAGAGTGGAACCCTATACAAATCAGGATCTCAAACTTCATTCTACCTCGTTAAAAAAGAATAGAATCTGTTGTAATCCCAAGGTGTCTACCCCATCCCATCCCCACCAACGCGACTCGATCCCGCACGCATAGATCCGAGCGCATCCGCTCCCCACCGGGGCTGAAGCTCGCCAATCCAATGCGGAATCTGACATCCAAACACGCAACCTGCCAATGGAATCGACAAGTTGCAACCATGACCTCATGCATGACATCTAAGTATAGAGGCCATAACCCCCCTCTTTACTGCCCCGCCTCCTCAATTTCCTTCTCACCATCTAATCTAATCTCACCATTGAAGAACATATCCATCATGTCGAACGTCTACTTTGATATTGACTATACAAACCGCAGCGGGCAGAGTATGTCAATCTCCATTATTCGATCGTGTCATAACTTATAATGTTTAGATGAATCATGGGGCCGCATCGTGTTCAAACTCTACGACGACGTCGTCCCAAAGACCGCTGGTAACTTCCGCGCCCTGGCAACTGGCGAGAAGGGCTTCGGATATGCAGGCTCGGCGTTCCATCGTGTGATTGCCGGGTTCATGGCTCAGGGTGGTGACTTTACCCGCGGAAACGTACGTCTCAAGATATCCATAACTCTCAACCAGCGAAGCTAACGTGAATATGTCACGCAGGGAACAGGCGGTAAATCGATCTATGGCGAAAAGTTCGAAGACGAGAACTTCAGCATCCAGCATACCAAGCCGGGTCTGCTGTCCATGGCAAACGCGGGACCAAACACGAACGGGTCTCAGTTCTTCATCACTGTGAGTCTCTCCATCTCTGCGTGACTATTGTGGGAACAGCTGACTTACTGTGTTGGTAGTTCGTCAAAACTCCTCATCTGGATGGCAAGCATGTTGTCTTTGGGGAGGTTGTGTCGGGACAGGAAATACTCTCGAAGATGGAGAGCAAGAGCTTGGATTCAAGTGGGCGCACGGACGGTACTATCAAGATTGCTGCCTCGGGTGCTCTTTGAGCGTTTGAGCAGTGTTGGATTGTGTTGTGCTTGATTGTAGTCGTGTTGGGTAGTGCTCTATATAGGCTGCAATCAAAGTGTGACGCATTGATACCAATGTGGTACTTTGTAGTTGAGTTCGTACGTGGTTAGAGGGCAGATGGCTGCAAGTCCATTGCTGTTATGAGTGTGGGTGGCTCAAGTGGCATGGCATGAGATGAGGCTTGTGGTTGGCCATGTTGGCTGGAAGACATCATTGGGTGTGGAGAGCTGTGAGTCAATCCTGGGTGTGGCAAGTGCCATGACATGAGACAGATATTCTTAAGGGTCGACAATGTTGGGGTGTGTGCGTGATTTGGTGTGGTAATAAACAAGAGTGGGAACGATGCAGGGAAGTAGGGTAGGATGATGGGAATAGCTTCATTTGGATTAAAGGAAAACGAGGATGGCAGGTGGGAGGCAGGAGGCAGGAGGCAGAGCAGGAGTGGAAGGAAGAGGTGGTAAGGGAATAGCTTTATCTATCAAAGGTCGAGTTGGGTAACTAGGCAGGAAGGGAAGCTGGAAGGGAATAGCCTCACCTGTATTTGGGTCAACTTGCAGGTGGAAAGCAGAGCAGCAAGAGGCCTCATGGGAATAGCTTCATGTTCGTCGAGAGGATATGGGAACAAGGGCAAGTCGAGCAAAAGGGGAAGGAAGACATGAAAAAGCACCTCCAATAAAGCCAAGCAGGACAGCAAGAGGAGAGACAAGAATAGCTTCATGAAAACAAAGCAAAAGATTAAAAAAAAAAAAAAATCTCATTAACCCGGACCTTTCCCGGGCTCGTAGGACAATACATGGGGACACCGCGGTGCGATCCCAATCCATGACCCCCCAATCATCAGCCCATATCCATCAGATCAACTTACTAGCTACGGCTTCTCAGCGAGACGGAGGAGTAGGGTTTCCCATTCGCCTGAGTGGGTGCCTATGTGTAGTCTTGGGTATCACTTCAGTATATGAGCATCAAACCGGCAGTGAAGGAATTTGACCATCTATGATCGCTACCCCGCAGGACGAAGACGGGCCATGACAACCCCTTGGGCCACTGGAGTGAGCTGGTTAAAAAGAAGCCTTTTGTTTGCCTTATATAGGGCGAAGATGTAAGAGACATGTCACTCAGGCAGGGAAAATGGCTGTATCTTAAGGTTGAGGGATCGTGGAAACTTCAGATTTGGGCAACAGCTGCTAGAGAGGAGCAGCATCAAGCAGCTCCATTTCTGAGTTGTACAAACAGCCTCATATGGAGTAGTCGGGGGGATAAAAGTGGAGGTACCTCTATCTCAAGTCAAAAACGAGGCTATCCGAACATCAAAATTCGGAAATCTGAAAGGCCCTTCCCAAGCCTAAATCCCTAACAGGAAATACTAAATCTGCAACTCCAGGGATCGATTCCTGTCAATGTCAAACATCCTTTTATTTCCATCTTTATTCCTTCCCCCAGTCTCTCATTTCACAGCAACCATAAACAACCGCGGAAATTTAAACAACACCCTCCCATCGACAGAGACAGGATATGCCCCCTTGATCTTCTCCAAATATGCCTCCAAAAACGCCTCCCTCTCGCCACCCTCCAACAGATCCACAAACGGCTTCAACCCGGCCCCCTTAACCCACTCCACAACAGCCTCAGGCCCTTCAACCGAATGATAATAACTCGTCTCCCAAATATGAACCTCCCCACAAAACGGCTTCAGCCGATCATACATCACCTGTATAGACTCGAGTTCATTTCTCTGCACCCCAGCCAACTTCCCAGCCCACGGCCCCTCCGCCGCCGTCTCACGCATTAACACATGCACCGGCTCGCTCAGGTTATTCGGCACCTGAATAGCAAAGACAGATCCTGGAGCCTGTGGCTCCAGCAGCCGTCTGATAACTGCGATCCGGTCGTCTGCTGTCAGCCAATGGAACACAGCGCTAGAAAAGAAGAGGTCGACAGCGTCGCCTGCCTCCGGCTTGTACGTTGTCAGATCTGCAACATGGAAGTCCCGCTCTGGGAGGACAGTCTGCGCCTTTTTGATCATGTCAGGTGAAGAGTCCAGGCCTGTGATCTTTGCGTCTGGGTAGCGTGTGGCCAGGACTGATGTTGAGTTTCCCGGGCCGCAGCCTAGGTCGATGATCCTCTTCGGTGATGATAGGGGCACCCTGTCGAGGAGATTGCGCGTTGGTAGGGTGCGTTCATTCTCGAACTTGAGGTATTGGCTTGCATTCCAGTCTTTCGCTTTGGTCATTGTGGTATATTGGCGTGGGTTTATCGTTTTGCTGAGGTTGAATAGTCTTTGTTGGAGACGGATTGGCATGATTGGGGATTCTATGGTCTATATGACATGACCCAGATGGCAGTTGGTCTTAGCCAGGTATTAATACTTGGAAGACTGAAGGGATGAAGTTGCCCTGCAAAGGAGAGGTGACCGTGGAAGATGCGATTATCGGACATTTGGTCAGCATTTGCCGATCCATGGAACCCCCGCATACCCCATGCCCGGACTATCCACGAACTATAACGTACAACAGGGCTGTCTAAAGAGTATACTCCGTACGGGGCAACGTGATAAAGACAATCGTCCGATATCGCAAAAATAAACCAACGTTACATCGCAACCAGCGAAGAAAGGAAAAGAAGATGAGCCAGGTAAGATCCAAAATGTATTGATAAATATATCTAGCCGAAGAAACACAAGTAGATCTAAGGACAGGAGCAGTATGTCTAGCATATCTCGAACTAGCGAGCCACTTGACATTTCATTTAGTTGCTGCCAACCAAGTTGCCGAGCAGAGACTCAACCCAGCTCAGGACACTCTCAGCACTGTCAGTAGGGAAAGGCAGAGCCGAGCCGGCAGCGCTGGCGGTAGCCACGACGGAGCTGGGGGCCTCGGGGGGGAGGCTGATTGACGGGCGCTGGTGGCGAAGGTAGTCTGAGCAGCGACGGGGGCTGAGATGGAGGTCTCGATGGCGATGGCAGCAGACGTAGTAGCAGCAGAGGTCGTAGCAGCGACAGCAGTGGCGGAGGTAGCGGGGGCAGAGCTCACGACAGCGCTGGAGCTGGAGCCACTGGAGCCAGAGCTGGAAGAGTCACCGCCGAGAGTGAAGTCGACACAGGACTCATAGGTCTGGTCGATAGACTCGGCGTACCAGTACCACTGCAGCACGCAGTCACCAGCGGTGCCACACTGGCTGCCGAGGTCATCGGGGATAGTCACTGAGAAGCTGGTCTCGTCGGATTTGACACCGGTGGCAGTGGAGGCATAGACGTCCCAGGAGATGAGAGGCTGGCCGATGACAGAGTTGGAAGAAGTATCGACGACGGAGACGTTAGCGACACCGGTGTGAGGAGCGCGGATGTCAACCTTGAAGTCGACCTTCTGGCCGGCGGTGTAGGATTGGACGTTATCCTTGTTGTCGGCGAACTTGTAGCCCTTGCAGAGCCAGATGGCGCACTCGGCGGCGTTGTAGTCGCTCTGGCTGGAGGCAACCTGGAGCTCGCCCTGGATGTTGCCGTAGTTGTCGGACTCCTGGTTCACCTGGACTTGGTTGCCGCAGGCGGCGGCCATGGCGGAGCCGGGCATACGGGCCTGAGGGCTGGTGACGAAGCCGTGGGCATTGACCATGGAGATCATGCTGGCGAAAGCCAGGACGGGAGTGAATTGCTTCATCATTTTGATGTTGGATATGGAAATGGAGAGAATGGAAGTGAACGGTAAACCGGTACCGATGAATGTATAACGAATGAAAATCTGCACGGTCACAGACCGGAGTGAAAGAATGTGAATGGGAAAAATATTCAAGAAGGACTGGCCAGCATACTCAACTGGGCCGTCGTGGATTTGCCTGTTATATAGCCATGGGGAGAGCCCTTCCACATCCCAGTGCTAATCAACTACAAACAGTAGAGACTCCACATTGATGGACGTCACCTGGCCAGAGTGCTGTATGTAGCGCCTTGAAACACATCGGATATATTCAGGGACATTCTCTGGAGACCGGCGGCAAGTGAATATTGAACTTGACCGATTCTTCCGAGACAAGCCCGATGTTCAGGAGCTAGGGCTGCCAAGCATGGCCCACGCGCCGAACTGGGATGAACGTTTCATGTTGATGGAGCTGCCAAGTGACAGGTATATAGCTGTGAGCCGTGTCATTGATGGATATTCTGCGTAATTAAGCATGTGGGGTCAAGAGATGATCGCGGGTCTCGGATGTTTCGCCAATTTGACTCCAATCCGACCTATAGTCGCCCTGCATCTGCCAGGGGTTTGTGAAACTAACTAGGTACTTTGGGAGCCTCGATGGTTTCATATTAAAGAGTGCATAGAGATAAATTCCGGTTGGTTTTCCTGTCAAGTTGAGCCTTTATTAATCATTTCGAGACTATGGACGCCTTCTATCATGAATGAACTATGTTTTTTACTTCGAACGCACAAGCTTCGAACTGTCAAAACAGAGCTCCCATCTTCCATACCTTGTTCACCTTGCTCACGGCATGCTCCAATTTAATTTCTGGCTGGCTTTGTTGTCTCGGCCCCCTGAATAATAAGCATCGCCCAACTATAGATATGGACCGACCATCCAGGCATGTGGATTCGGAGCCGTTACTTCCATAATATGTAGATTCCATGCTTAATACGAGAACACGAGCATTGGAAGACAAGTTTATAACAAGACTACATAAATAAGACCACGTGGGAGCATTGGGGAGTCAATCAACTCTTAATCCCACAGAACATACCATCATCATGCATTCAAGTACATTGCAGCTGTCTCAAAGATCGTAGTCCGAGTCCCAACTGAAACGGAATATTCCAAATTATACTCGCCTAACGATTTAGCTCCAGATCAAACACAATCTTGCCCTTCGCATGACCCCCGTCCAACCTCTTAAACGCCTCCTCGAACTGTTCCAGCGGCCAAACACTATCAACTATCCCGCGACACAACCCAGCCTCAGCCAACCTCGTAATCTCCTCCAACTGCCTACTAACAGGTTGCATAACAAAGAACACATCCCTCACGCCAGTTCGCTCAAATCCAGCTGGACAAACCCCCTTAGGCGGCTGATAAATACTCAAAACAACACCGCCATCCTTAACAGTCCACCACGCATCAGCAAGAGCCTGCCGACCAACACAATCAACAACAACATCAACCGCATTCCCATCCTGACGAGCCCACTCCTTCAAATCCACCTTCCGATAATCAAGCACCTCCCCAACCCCGAGGTCCCTCACAAGATTGGCATTCCCACTCCCACACGTCCCAATAACCTCCGCCCCAAGCATCCTCGCCAATTGTACAACCCACATCCCAACACCCCCAGACGCAGCAGTAACAAGAACCCTCTTCCCCTTCCAGAAAGCCTTGGCCTCTTCAATCCCCATCTCTTGCTCAGTAGGAAAAGCATGGACAAAAAGAATCTGCCAAGCCGTCATAGCAGAAAGCGGAATAGAAACCGCCTGCACGAAACTCAATCCCTTCGGTTTCCGTGCCAACTCTCCAGTAACAGCGATAGAGTATTCACGCGCATTGCCGGGCCGAATGTAATTAGTGCGCGAGTAGACTTCCGTGCCCGGTTGGAAGGGGGAGTCTGCTGGTGCGGAGATGACTATTCCTGCCATGTCTGGACAGGGGATTAGGGGGCGTTCGGTTGGTGGGGGAAGTTCTTTGGCCAGAGAAGTTCGCCGGAGCAGGGTGAGCAGGCTTTAATTTGGATGAGGTGTTCGTCGGAGTTTGGGGTCGGGGTTGGGATTGGGGAGTTGGTTAGGGTTAGGGTGGTTGAGGCGGCGGTTTTTTGGAGGAGAGTGGGGATGGTTGTTGGGAGGGCCATTTTGATGGTTGATTGATTGATTGAAGATTGGCGATGAGATCGTAGAAACTTGAAAGTTGCTTGGTTGATTCGGTGGTTTTGTTCTGATCTGATGTCGTTCTTATACTATGAGAGTTGATGACGTTCCGGGTTCCGGATAGCCTATTCATCATAGCCTAACATGAACATGGGATATTCAGCCACGCATCCATAAACGGAATATGGTATATCACCTCGTATTTATCTGCGAATCACGGAACCAGTCAGAGGCCGCGGAGATGCGATTTGTGGGCTAGAACAGGTCTTTCGATTTGACAAGATCTACCTATGTACTCGAAGCGCAACGCGAAGTACAACGATATTGGCACCCCTCACTCTTGTGTATACTGTAAATAACGCTGTTTAAACGTTGAAAGTGAATTCAAAAATCTGTAAAAGACAATGCTCAAGGTATCATAATGAATGAAGAACAAAAGACCAGGAAATAGCTATGCGCCGGCAATAGTGACAAGACAACGACCAAGCGCAAGAGTCCAAAAGTCCCAGAAAAGAATAAAGATGCATCATCACCACCACCCCAGACTGTATCAACGCTCCTGCTCAGCAGGCTGGAAATGCACCCGGTCTCTCTGAGACTGATGCGTCTGATTCCTCCCATGATCAGAATCGTCCGTGACATAGTCATCAGCGAAGGGATTCTGAACCTGGAAGTCCTCAGGCCGATACTCATATCGGCCCGTATTACCAATGGTAGGAGCAGCAGTAGGAGCAGCAGTAGTGGCATTCGACGTCCTACCACCGGTCATAACAGTCGACGGCAGCTCCGTAGCAACCGGAACAGATGGCAAAGGCTGCTCCCTCGGCGCCGCAGCCCCAGAAGCAAAACCCTGAGACTGAGACTGAGACGTCGGCTCAGGCGAATTCACATTGGACGAACTAGGCGATGAAGACCCCCTCACCTTGCGCGCCTTCAGCATAGCCCGCTGCTGCTGCGACAACGCAACAGAAATCTCATCATTCGTCTCAATAAGCGTCAACAACGTATCCTCATCCGGCGCGGGATTCGTCGAATGAATATAACCCTGAATAAGCCGCGAACCGGTGCGGCACCGATCAACGAACTCCTTCACGAGATCATTATCCTCCAGCTCGGCCGGCGGCGTCGACTGCACGAATTGCGTGAGTAGCTTAGCCGAGTTCCTCGCCTCTTCAACGCGCGCCGCCAACTCTTCCGCGTTGGGTAGTGTATTCGTAGGGGGTCGAGCAGACGCCTGCGCCCGCGCACCAGCATAGGCATTACGATGCGGATTCGGATGCGGCGGTACAGGCGGTGCTGCAACACCCGAAGCCATAGGGAACCGATCAATCTGTGCAGCCAAAGCCAATAGCCCGAATTAGTCTCCTTTCTCTGTGCACGCTTTCTCGACTTGGAGATAAAAAAGATCTAAGAAAGGCTCACCAGTCCGCGCTGCGGTTTCGTTTTTTCCTTCGCCCACATCTGCAGCAGGAGTTTGAGGTCTTCGTCCCAGCCGCGCTGTTGCTCGAGTGTATCCAGGTACTGGCGGAGGTAGCTCTGCACGTGCCAGTCGCGACCAGCGCGGAGGAGATCCTTGATCGTGGTAACGAATTTCGCGTCGAAGTTGCGGGTGAAGGTGTGGCCGGGGTTGTCGACTAGGATGCGGGTTATCATGAGGGCATTGTATTGGACGTGGTTTGGGGTTCCGGCTGGGTCGGCGAGGTATTTGCGGATTCGGAGGGCGGCTTCTTTGGCGGCATTGGGGCTTGATTCGGCTGTTTCGACTATTTGGGGGAGGTGCACGAATTCGTTTCCTTGATGGTTCTAGTGGTGTGTGAGTGAGGTGTTTCATAGGGATTATGGGATATCCATGGTTCAAGCTTGCATACCGCGTCGTGCGAAGAGCTGTTTGATTCGCAGAAGGCCGTCTGAATTATTGGTTAGTTTGAGGTTCTGTTCGATGTGGCTGCTGGACGGACCAATTCTCTTGCGATTATGCCTTCCGGTGAGTCGTCGCGGTGGTCTATACTGTCGCTTGAGCCTAGATTGGTAGATTGGATTAGTGAATTTGCGGGGAGGTCTGGAGACGAGGGACTCACTCGAGCGCCTGCTCAGAGAACCTAGAAAGCGCTTCATGGTGTTGTCTTTGGTCCTCTCAGGGGAGTTTCGGAGGAATGAGAGCTGCCACAGAATAATCCCGGGGGACTAATTAGGGGCCGGAGCCTCGCACTGCAGAACTAGCGAAGATAGGGAACCTCGCTAAGGCCAAGGTCCATGCTGAGCGAGAAAATGGTACCAAAGTCAATATATCTACGGCATTCCAGTGGCAAATACGTCCACGTACGCAACGAAGCCATACAGCAAATGCCAAGGTTCCTCCAGGCTCCAGGCAAAATATCTCGCGGGATGTTTCTATTCCGGTGACTCAGCCACGTGCCGATGTATGAAGTACACGCCAGCTACAGCGTCGATCATCCATTCTCAAGTACTCAGTACATCAAAAGTTCGAGTATCGAAGCCATGCATGGACATATCAAAATCACTCAAGAGCATCAGCCATCTCCCCCAAAGTCCCAAACCGCCAATCAAAAATCGGATCTCCCAGATTCCCCATTGTAGCCCCAGGTCGCTCAATCCAAACCGAGCGAATCCCCACCCTCCTTGCAGGCTGATGATCATGAAACTGGCTCTGGGCAGTCTGCAACACCTCCGCAGGACGTACGCCAAATTCCCTTTCCACAGCCTCGAGCATATACTCGAAATTGCGTAGATCGGGCTTATAACTGCCGATATCCTGTGCCGTGAGCACCATATCAAAGGGCACACCCTGCAAACTACCAGCATTGGATTTAGCAAATGAGGCTCGGTCCACGTTGGAGAGAACGACTAGCTTGTAGTGCTTTGATAGACGGCGCAGGGCATCTACGGTATCTGGGAAGGCGGGCCATGTTCCGACTGAATTGCCGAATTGTTGGCTTTCTTCGGTGCTGGGGGCATCTAGTCCTAGGCGGGTGGCGAGGATAGGGTGGACTGTTGCTAGGAGATCTGAGTAGAGCATGTCTGGGGTTTTCTTTTGTTGGGTGCTCTCCAACTCTTGGAAGATTGATAGGAGGTGCTCGCGGGTGAATTGTGTCGTTGTTTTTGAGAGGATTGGTTGGAGGGCAGAGAGGATGCCGCCTTCCCAGTCTATCAGAGTGCCGTAGACGTCGAAGCAGAGGAGGCGGTAGTCTTTGAGGGACATATTGATAGGTGTTGGGATATATAGAATGGTACTGGCAGAGTGATGAATATTGGAATCAGCTACAGCCGTGGACTGGATGTCTTCTTATACAAGTTGCCCCGCATGTAGATCCCAATGCTGAAGCTATCGTCCTTGGCATTTCGTGCCTTCATAGATAGGTGTCGGGGACCCGAAGTGGTATAGTCAGGATCTGGATTGCCTAGATAGATTGGTGTTGGTGTCAGCGTTACAGATAACGTATAGCCTTGGAAACTATTGCAGTCCCTACGCTAGACAAGTCGAAAAGACATATACAAGTCAAATATTTTGAACAGAATGGAATGCACATATAGTCACGGAGAAAGAACCACGTTTGTATCATGAGGGATCGGGAAGTACAGAATCCTATTTCCATCACCCAGGGCCATTCGTTTAAACTTTTTATTTGGTTCTCCTCCGAAAGTTGGCGCCATGACCTTAAAAATCTTGTATGATCCGGTATCGAATTCCGTTCCAACATACACAGCTGATGCCGTAGAACTCCGAACCTTCCCGTCCACCGCAAAAATCTTTTCAACACGTCCCCTCACACCTTCTTATGCGATCCGTTTATGCCTCAATGAGAGCACGGCGGATCTGGGTGCCACGCTGGCGGGAAGAGAGGCGGGTCTTCTTCTCGAGGGCGGCCTGGGGGCCCTTCTTGACCTCCTCATCGGCCTCGGTGAGGATGAGCTCAATGTGGCAGGGGTTGGTCATGTAAGGGTTGATCTGGGATAATCAGTATTGGACAAAAGAAGGTTAGAATGAGGAAAACGTACACGACCGTGGGCACGGTAAGTGCGGCGGCGACCCTTGGGGGCCTGGTTGACCTGGATGCGCTTGACAACCAGGGCGTTGGTGTCGAGACCCTTGCCATCGGCGTTGGCCTCGGCGTTCTTGAGCAGATCAAGGATGTGCTCAGCGGACTTGACGGGCCAGCGGGCCTTGGAGACACCGAACTGCTTGCCTGTTGAGTGATCAGCCCTTGTTCCCATTCAAAATTCAAAATTCATCCAGCATCGAAATTTTCCATAGCATCGCCAATAAGCCAATAACCCCATATCCTGTCTCTTGGATCTTCCTCTTCCTATTCCCCTGCATGTCCATGGCTGTCGTAATATTGGCGATGCTATTTCCCATCCCACAAATCTTCCGTCCAATCATCGAAATTTTCAAGGGTAACTCACCCTGGGCAGTGCGACCGGTGGAGCCAGCGTAGCGGCGCATGGGAACGGCCATGGTCTTGGTGGTGACGTTCTCGAGGAAGGTAACGGCCTTGGACAGCTTCATGCCGTTGATGGCCTGGGCGGTCTCACGGGTGTTCTTGAAGCTGACACGGAGGTAAGAGCCCCGGGCGCGGGCGCTCTTGCCGTTTTCGATCTCCTGGGCGGCGTAACGGACCTGAATAGAGCATTGCGCGTTAGCAATGGTTGTTGAAATTGACGACAGCGAGGTCGACCCGGCGATCGGACATTGAATATGATATTGAATGTGCCGTCACACGGGTGGCATGTCGTAAAGAATGGGATTTCGATTCATTTGTCGATAAAGGGGACAGGCAGCACTCACCATCTTGAAGGAGTTGGCGAGGGGGTGTGATGGTCCTCGGTGATGAATTGTTGTCGCTTTTCGTCGTCGGCCGGCGGTCGCTTGAGCCACCAGGTTTGGTGCGGTTTTTTCGCTCTTGGCGCTCTGGCCCTAAGCGAGCCCTAACGCTAGCCGAATGTGGTTGGTCTGGTGTTTGCCCAGGTGGCTTAGTAAATGCTGAGTCATGTCAGCCGTGGGACTATAGCCTTGGGAAACAGGTGTCATTTGAACTAAACTTAGAAAATTGGCTCAACATGTACTTACACCTGCAGTAGGAGAAGCTAAACTTAAGGTCCCATTTATTACATCTATCTTCTACTTCTATATTTCTATTTCTTCTGCTCAGGCACCTGTGTAATCAACTCCCCCTTCTCAACCGCCGACCGCAAGTTATCCAACACCAAAATCTCCATCTCCTTCTGAGTCTCATAGGTCATGGTACCGATATGAGGCAACAGCATAACACGAGGGTTGCTCACAAGACCAGGTTCAATCTCAGGCTCGCATTCATACACATCCAGACCAGCAGAGCGCACCTAAACAGCAACCGTCAGTCAAATGGGTCCTCATAGAGTATGGATAACTCCAGGTACATACCTTGCCAGACTCAAGCGCCGCAACAAGCGCCTTCTCATCAATCAGCGCTCCACGCGCCGTGTTGACAATCACAACACCATCCTTCATCTTGCCGAACTCAGTGGCACCGATGATATGGCGTGTTGAAGCATTCAACGCGAGGTTCAAACTGAGCACGTCTGCATTGGCAAGCAACTCATCGAAGGAAACGTAAGTTGCGCCGCCTTCCAGTTCCGCTGGTAGCCGGGAGCGGTTGTGGTATTGGATCGTCATGCCGAAAGCTTTGGCGCGGATGGCCATTTCCTGTAAATTGACATGAGGGTCAGCAAGCCTCGCAGACAACTTCGGGATCTGTGTATGCACAACTTACCCGGCCGATACCTCCCATACCCAGAATACCAAGGACCTTGCCCTTAGGATCATGGCCGAGCGTGGCACGCTCTTCCTTTCCCCCTAGCGGTGATTGGGCCCTGCCACTTGCCTGGATATCGGGTCGCGTGGTCAGCTACTAGATTGGATATTGTGTATCCTTATGCTAGACTTACCTTCCCTAAGAGCCATAATAGGCACATGAGCCTGGCGCAGCGCACCAATCATCAAGAAGATGCCTACATCGGCAGTCGCATCATTGACCGCGACAGGTGTGCTAGACACGGCAATGTTTCTCTCTGAGCAAGCAGCGACGTCGATGTTATCGTATCCGGCACCATTGTGGCAAATATACTTCAGCGACTTGGGCAGGACGGCGACCATCTCTGCATTGAAGGGACCGGTGTACTGTAACTGGTTAGTGAAGGACTCATCTGAAGAATTGGGACAATGTCTACCTTCGTGGAAGTATTAGACCGGTAGAGAGCTACTACATCATCATAGTGGCCCGCCTTACAGTTCTCGATGAACCGCTCCCGTGTTCCGCTGGGGAATTCCTGTTCTATCTTAATTGCTGGTCGTGATATATAGCTGGAGGACGTACCTTCAATGTCAACTTCGAGGAGAGACTCTCCCATTCCTTGCGCGCATGTGATATTTCTCCGATGAGGAGGGCTGATTGCGACATGGTGAATTTGTGATTTGGAGACTATGCGGGGATGTCAGATGCGCGCAATGATGTCGCTGATATACTGCTTACCTCGTGATGTTATGAGTACAGCGAGGTGTGTGAGATTAGAATAAGAAAAGAAAAAGCAATTCCGCGCAAAAGGGAGAAAGAATTGCCTTGCACCCCCGCTATCGCACCCCCATATGTCGCGATGTCATAGCCCCACAGTATAGATGAGGGTATACAGCGCTGTAGATGTAGATGTAGATGTAGTGTAGATTTACTGTAGATGGCGATGATATAGATATTATACTCCTATTATACTCCTACAGTTGCTATTCAATTCAATGTCTATGCATATACTACTGAATACCATCATGAATAACTTACGATATGACGGTTGCCCCCCACGTCGGGAAATGAAGTTACTCCAATCCATCTCAATAGCCGAGCACCAGCACGGAGTTGCTCCGTTGGCCAAATCTCCCCACATCGCCGTGGGGGAAAACACAACGGGCCGATTCTCCAAATGCCGTCAGCGGGGTTGCCGGGATTCGGTTTACTTCTCTCTTTTCCTTATATTCATTGACTGTCACTGCCACTGTCACTGCTACTGCCCATCCAACCGCAATCATGACAGACACATCTACCACCGCGCTCGTTCTCCACGGCGCAAAGGACCTCCGCGTTGTAAGCACCACCATCTCCAACTCTATACAAACCCCTAACAACCCCAGGAACAACGCACAGTCTCCGCGCCAAGCGCGCACGAAGTCCAAGTCGCAATCCGCGCAACAGGCCTCTGCGGCTCAGACCTCCACTACTACAGTCACGGCCGCAACGGCGACTTCGTCGTCCGGGAACCCATGTGCCTAGGCCACGAATCAGCAGGCACAGTAACAGCAACAGGAAGCAGCGTTTCCAACCTAAAACCCGGCGACAGAGTCGCCCTAGAAGTCGGCCTGCCCTGCCGAAGCTGCGCACTCTGCAAGCAAGGCCGCTACAACATCTGCAAAGAAATGCGCTTCCGCAGCAGCGCAAAAACATACCCACACCTCGACGGAACCCTAATGGACCGCACGAACCACCCAGCAGACATGTGTCACGCAATCCCCGACAGCGTCAGCGACGCAGCAGGCGCCCTCGTCGAACCTCTCGCCGTCTGCCTGCACGCAGTGCGCCGTTCCCACCCGCCCACCAAAGAAGAAGTAGGATTGAACGCCGCGGCCGGCGAAGAAACAGCAGCGCTTGTCTTCGGCGCTGGTGCCATCGGCCTCCTAATCGCCGGTGCGCTCGCCGCCAGCGAGAACTTCACTTCGATCCTCGTCGCGGATATCGACGAGCGACGTCTGGAAATTGCCAAGTCAATGGGATTGGGACTTAAGACTGCCCTGATTCCCCGTGGTGATCCTTCGAATCCACCTCCCGCGAAGGACGCCCCGCATGCAGAGCAGACGGCGTATGCATTGTCTACTGCGCAATCTGTCGCTGCGACACTTACCAAAGCTGCAAGCTCGTCAGAGTCCGGCTTGACCATGCCTGGTTTCAGCCGTGTCTACGACTGCACGGGTGTACCAGCCTGCGTACAAGCAGGAATCTACGCCTCGGCACCCGGCGGCGTCCTCGTTCAGATTGGAATGGGGAATCCGGTGCAGACGGTTCCTGTTGGCGCGGCTGCGTTGCGAGAGGTTGATATTATCGGTGTGTTCCGGTATGATGGGGCTGCGTATCCTGCTGCGATTGCTTTGCTTGCTAGTGGGAAGATGAGTAGTGTTGAGGAGAAGGTTGTTACGCATCGGGTTCGGCTTGAGGAGGGGGCTAGGGCTTTCCAACTTGCTGGAGCTGGCGTTGATGAGGATGGGAGGCCGGTTGTTAAGGTTATTATTGAGAATCGGGGACGGGCGAATGGTTTGCTTTAAGCGTGGGTATGGAATGGGAATAGTTTTATGTTAGATACCCTTGGTGTGCCGTGGAAAAGTTGGATGTATATGTAGATGGGGAATAGTGATAGTGAAGGGTATATCTTGAGTCTATCGAATCAATATATTGCATTTGCATTTACATATTAATAGCAATACAATACTATATCCAAATTATCTACCTCAAAAGATATATATCCATAAATACAAATTCACTTCAACCCCCAGCCAGCAACAAACTCTGACCAGTCATATACCCCGTCTTAACCAGCATAGTAACAACATTCGCCGTCTCCTCAGGAGTTCCTAACCTACCCAGCGGAATCCCAGACGCAACCTCGGGGATAGCGGCAGCATTAGGAATCATACCCGTATCACCAATCATAGCCGGGGCAACATCATTAACACTGATATTGAACTCGGCAAGACGGGTTGAGAGGTTTTTCATCATTCCTGTTAGGCCGCCTTTTGATGCGGCGTAATCTATAGAAATATAATAGTTAGCCATGTGGAAGGTATACTATAGAAGGATGAGAGAGTGAAAGGGAAAGATACGCACGACATCCATTAATTCCACCCCCCTGCGCAGCAATAGAAGACATAAACACAATACGTCCCCAGCGCTGACTCTTCATCCGCTCAACGACACCCTTGACGAGGATGAAGGATGCGCGCAGGTTAACCTGGAGCGTGTAGTCGAATTCCTCGAGGGTGCAATCCCAGACGTTGGGGACTCGTTTGCCGTAGCCGGCGTTTGAGACGAGGATGTCTGGGCGGTGGCCGTGTTCCTGGTCGATTTCCTGGAACATGCGTTCGATGTCGTCGGCAGAGCCGACGTCTACTTTGTGGATTGAGAAGCGGATTCCTTCGTTGCTGTATTTGCTTTTTAGGTCCGTTACTAGCTCGGTCATTGCTGTTAGGTTTGTTGCGTATGTGAGGGCGAGGTGGATGCCATGGGCAGCGAGTTGGTGTGCGCAGGCTGCTCCGATTCTGGGGGTCGTTGTCAGTTTTTTGTTTGGTTTGGAGATTTACAATGGTGATGTTGGGGTAGATGGGTAAAAGCTTACCCTCCCGAAGCGCCAGTGATGAGGGCAAGACGGCCCTGAACCTCGTTGAGAGACATGATGCAACTGATGCGACTGATGCGACTGAATTGGAGGATGGATGGGATGTGAGTAAATAGAAGAACAAAATCCCCTCAGATAAGAAGATGTTGCTGGCCTCGGCTACCGGGGCGATCTCCGATCCCCGCAGCCCCGCATCATTAGCCGTCGGAGTATACGATCCGTCAGATTGGAAAACAACTAGAACAGAAGATTACTGCTCATATCACCCATCCAAGCAGACGGTTGCCACGCCTGCGATCGATCCTGGCCTTGATACATATCAGATGCATTCTGGAATGCATCCAAGCCCAATAACCCGCCGGAAATCTGGTCTCCGGATACATAGTCGCCCACAGCCTCCAGGTCGAGCCATGAGAAATCGTTTGCGGGACTAAATTGCATGTAGCCCGGGTCTGCTACTGGGTTTGGTAGGGCTTGCATTGAGAAATCGCTGTTCTGGGCCTCTGAGGGGTTGGAGTTGGCTGGTTTGGGTTTCCAGAGGAGTTCGAGGAGGCGGGCGTAGCGTGAGCCGACATCGTCGGTGCCGGCACTTGCTTGTTTGAGGACTTCTGTGGTTCGCGCCACGAGGCCTTGGACTTTTGCTTCTTCTGATGGGACCATCATTCCGAATGATCGGGCCTGAACTGTCAGCCGGATTCAAGGGGCTCAAGAGGGATTCAACGGAGTGTTGATGGCTTACTTTGTAGAGGAAAACAGCAGAGTAGATTCCATACAGATAGAAACGGAGAGGCATGAAATGGAGATGCTTTTCCGGATCTACCGAGTCCACAAGGATCGTCAAGTATGATTTAGCTGCGTCGACGGATTCATAGATGAACCGCGAATCCTGCATCGAAGCCACATTCCTGAATGTTGATCGTAGTTTTTCTCGCTGGCCTTGCGCATCGGTCTTCGGCTGGACGAGCGATTGGGAGATGGCGGCTTGGAATGCAAATGCCGTTGTGTATAAGCGCAGATACTCATATGATAACTGCAGAGTTGCTCGCATGGGTGGTGAGCCTATAATGTTAGTCCAGTTGTTTCCGAAGTCCATAAAGGTCAACTTACAATCCAATGAACCCCAAAGTGACTTCCACCGCAAGATAGCAAGACGGAAATCATCCACATATTTCACATAATCGCCCATCAACATCATCTGGTTACTGGCCCGCATACCAGAATACAAGACCTCATGAACATTCCCATAAAGCTGCGTCAAATCCAACATAGCCTGCCAAATCTTCGAATAATCCTCATCGCCCTCCTTAACAGGCTGCAACGAAGGAAAATCCTGACTGACAAGACCAGTCATCGGTCCAGGTCCTCGCGACCAAAACGCACGTCCAATACGCACAGAAATCAACCGATCTGAAACATAACAGCTAGCCCACGCCAGCCGGCGACGCGCCTCACTCTCCTGATCACCGTACGGATCACCCCGGAAGGACGTGCGATCCATGCCAATAAAGTATCCCGAGCGCAAAGCAAGCCCGACATGCATCCACGCAGCGCGGTCTTCCTCGCCTCGTCCCACGCGCTCGATACGAGGTCGAAGACCTTGCGGTTCCCACTCTGCCAGTAATAAGAGTGCCTCCACTGCTTCGACATCGCACTCTGCGCCGGCAGCAATGCCAGAGATCAATTCGTGCATGTATTTCGAGCAGTACTCGTGGATCTCAGGTTGATCGACCAGATCCTTAGACGCAATGGTCAGAACGGCGGTGAGCAAGTGCTTCTCATTACCAGCAAAGTCATCCAGGGCAGAGCGCACGAAATATTTGCGCGGCACGAGCGGGAGGTACGGGTGGAAATTCTCCGCGTAGCGAGAAATAAGCTGCCATACCGTCTCCGGATCTAGTGACCGCGATTGAACAAGTCTGTAAGCCCTGATCCCAGTGTTTGGGGTTGTAAAGTCCGACACTACACCACCGCGCAGACCATTATATGTGGGGAAGCTAGTCGACTCCGAGCGAACACGGTCCTGACGCGGTTCAGCCGTGTCGGCGCCCTGTGTCGCGATCCCGGTCAGACATTGCCACGCGTCGGACGGATTGCGCGGAACGGAGTTTATAGAGGCATCGTCTTCCTCGACGGAGACGGAAGCCGGGGCTGGCGGGTTAGGAGGTAAAAAGACCACAGGGCCGGGGTAAGAAGGTTGTGATTGTGCCGGGCGATTATCCGAAGTAGCTGGACTTGAAGCGTCGGAATATTTGCTTGGCGAGGGATTTGCCGGAGTGAAGTTTTTAATCTTGTTCTTGCGGATTCGACGGCCCCCACGATTTGAGCCGCCTAAGATGCATTCGCGGTTTTCGCGAACGCAGCGCTGACAGGGTGGTTTGCCTGGGTTGCCGTTGCTGTCTCTGTTTCGATCAGCGGGATGAGCTGCAGATCTGGGTAAGGCTGGAGAATGTGAAATCCGGGTGTTCTTACAGGTCACATCGGGACTTGCGCTGTCTGCAGTGTAGGCAGGCTCGCGACACTCGTTTGGCGATATCGCGCCTTGAGGTTTCTGTGGGAGATTCGTCGTCCATTGTTAAGACATCTCAGGCTGAAGCTGTGCAGCTGTGAAGTTGGAATATGCAAAGATGCGAAAAAGCAGAACCCCCGCAGATGTACGGGGAGACTGTGGGGAAACGGTAACTCTACATTTACTCTGCTCTGTCTTTGTCTACTTCTCTGTCTACCAACTATAGATATATGTATTCTCCAAGTCAATTTGCGGAGAGTCATGTCTTCTCCACGTGCCTTTTCCTCACAATTCCATCTACAACTGCTTATTTCTCTATGAGAGGAGAATTGTCAATTGCCGACGGCTATTGAGGCGGTTATAGGAATTGCCACATCGGAGAAACCCCGCGTCATTGGGGTCAGTTTATGTATTTCATGTATTCTTCTTTTCTCTTCAATTCCTTCATTACAATTGATCTACAGATACTCACAATGGCAGACGTTATGTCCCTCTTCTCCCTAAGCGGGAAAACCGCCCTCGTCACCGGTGGCACACGAGGCATTGGCCAAGCCATGGCCCTTGCCTTGGCCGAGGCTGGCGCCGACGTTATCCTGGTTCAGGTACGAGAATTATCAAGAATGGAGGGATATATGTGGATATAGACTAACACCCCATAGAGAGACAGCACCAACACAGTCACTAAAGACGAAATCACCCGCCTCGGTCGTCAAGCCTGGATCCACGTCGCAGAACTAGGAGATCGCCAAGCTGTCAGAAACATCATCCCCGCCGTGACCAGCCAAGGCCTCAAACCCGAGATTCTAGTGAACTGCGCCGGGATTCAACGGCGACACCCGAGCGAACAGTTCCCAGACTCGGACTGGGACGAGGTAAGCCCCGCCCAATCTATTCTCGACACCCCCTGAAGACCCCTTTCAATATCTCAATGTCTCATTTGTGGAAAAACAGGTCCTGGAAGTCAACCTCTCCTCGGTGTTTGCGCTCTGCCGGGAATTCGGGGCATACTTGCTTGCCCGTGATGCCTCCGAGTTCCCCTCCGGCCGTCGGGGGTCCATCATCAACGTCGCATCGCTACTCACCTTCCAGGGCGGCATCACAGTGCCGGCCTATGCGGCGTCCAAGGGTGGCATTGGGCAGTTGACCAAGGCGTTGTCTAATGAGTGGATTGCCAAGGGGATTAATGTCAACGCTATTGCCCCTGGATATATCTCGACCGATATGAACACTGCCCTTATCAATGATGCGAACCGCAATGCTGGGATTATGGCGCGTATCCCAGCTGGCCGATGGGGAAATCCCGAGGACTTCAAGGGTGCTGTGGTGTACTTGGCGAGTCGGGCTAGTAGTTATGTGTCGGGGGAGATTCTTACAGTGGATGGTGGCTGGATGGGGCGGTGAGACGTCACAAAGCTATACTTGTATTTCCTGCATAACTTGGACACTTATCTCCTATACATGTATCTCCCTGTCTCCTATGAAGTGGATGCGCCAGAGTTTCAGCAAGAATGACAGCTCCGATCTGAAACCGCTAAACAAAGCCAATGTCAGACCACAAAGGGGAAGTATCGACATGTGGAAATCTCTTACGCATTTAATTTATGATAATTTATAATGTCTCTCGTCTGGTTCGAAAGGATTCTGGGCGGCACGCCGAGCCCTGCAAGGCCGATCGACAGCAAATCATAGCGGTTGCATGGGGAATCCCTGGCAGCTTGCGAAACACCGGCGTATTTGAGTGCAGAAGGGAGTTCGTCCGATAGGGTCGAGGTAGGCGCCTTGAACACCATCAGGCCATCTTCAACGGAGTACATGAACTGACAGGGTCCCTGCCCAGCTGAGGCCAGAGCTTTCTTCTTCCTTCTGTGACTTCATGCTTCATTCTTCATTTTTGCGTTGATCGCATAGACCTTCGTTTAGATTCATTGTCTACAGTTACATTGTCTTTCTTTTTGATCTGATCTGATCTGATCTGATATACTGGTTTCCTTGATCTAGTGATCTAGTGATCTAGTGATCTACTCTACTTGATCTACTTGTGATTCCACCTGTACGCTCCTTAACGTGCTATCCCTTGCATTTACATTCCAGTCAGTCTCCCCTCCCAACTCGATTCTTGGTGACGTGCTAATTTCTCTCGAATGCCTCAGATTCCGCCTTTGTTGACTTACAATCCTCATTGTTCTTTGTTGTGACAATGCTCCTATTATAGACACAGCATCTTTGTTCTCAGCATCTATATCGAAGCTCCTTTCCATTTCATCTGGTCTTTTCTCACTTCGAATCCTCAAGCGCTCAAATCCAGTCCGTATCCAAATCTCCTGCTGTTGACCGGCGACATACAACATTCACTACAACATCTAGTGCAACATCGTGGTACAAGCCCACGACAACATCCAATATTTCCTTCCCACTTAGGGCTCTTCAATGGCAGCAACCCATCCGCACATTGCGGCTCGAGGCTACGGATCAAATACAACATACATATATGAGTACTCCAGAGGACTGGGCGGCGTGGACGTCCCCCGCGATGTGATCATCACCCGAATCATCTACACATCTCTCGTCGTCCTCGCTATCGCATTATTCTGTGGCCGAATCGCCCAGATCAGCCATGCCTACCTCCGTCAAATCACCGCCTCTGGCACAACGAAACGGCAGCAGACCTTCTGGGCGCAGGAGGACTCATCGTGGTGGCCCAACCTCAAGAAGCACTTCTTATACGCTCCGTTAGGAAAGAAGCGACACAACCGAGAGATGCAGCTCTCGTCTGCTCTCAACGTCGGCACTCTTCCATCCCGGCTGCAGGCAACCCTGGTATTCCTCTACTTCACCAGCCAAGTGGTCTACTGCGTCTACCTAGACTACAGTGTCAACGAAAAGAAAGCCCTGGTAGCTGAACTCCGCGGCCGCTCCGGGACGCTGGCCGTCCTCAACATGGTCCCCCTCTTCCTCCTCGCAGGCCGAAACAACCCCCTAATCTCAATCCTGCACATCAGCTTCGACACATACAACCTGCTCCACCGCTGGCTGGGCCGCATGGTCGTCCTCGAATCCGTCGTGCACACAGCAGCGTGGGCCGTCAACGCCTGCGACGAGCAGGATTTCACCCACATGCTGGCTCGTCTCCGCGACACCCCCTTCTTCACCTGGGGTCTAGTCAGCACAGTCTCCATGATCTTCCTCTGCCTGCACTCGCCCTCCCCAATCCGCCACGCCTTTTACGAGACCTTCCTACACCTCCACCAGCTGGCCGCAGTCCTAGCCTTCCTAGGCGTCTACATCCACCTCCAACTAGACAGCCTCCCACAACGCAGCTGGTCCCAGGTGATAGCAGCAATCTGGCTACTTGAACGGGGCACCCGTCTCTTCCGCCTAATTCACCTCAACCTTTCAACATCAGGCACAACCTCAATGACAGTAACCGCCCTCCCAGGCGAAGCCTGCCGCGTAACCTTCCACCTCCCAAAGCGCGTCGCCATCCAACCAGGCTGCCACGTCTTCGCCTACATCCCAGCCGTAAGCTGGTGGATGTCGCACCCATTCTCAATCGCCTGGTCCGAATCAACAGACAGCCCCTACGCCTTTCCATCACCACACACGCCCCAATCCCTATCACACAACACAACCACAAAACACACCCCCAAAACCTCAATCTCAAACCCAATCCCCCTAACCCCCTCCTCCCTCGAAAAACAATCCCACTACTTCTCCCTACCACCACACAGCAACTCCCCAAAAACCCAAATAACCCTCATAATCTCAGCCCGCGCAGGCATGACCCGCCGCCTCTACAACCTCGCCAACAAAGCGCCCCAAAAGTCTCTCTCCCTCCCAGGCTTCATAGAAGGACCATACGGGAGCCACCCCTCAAACCCATCCAGCTACGGCACAACAATCCTCTTCAGCGCCGGCGCAGGAATAACCCACCACCTCCTGCTCACGCGCTCCCTGCTGCAATCCGCGTCCGAAGGAACATGCGCCACCAAAAAGATCTACCTAATCTGGTCCGTTCGCTCAACAGATCATCTGGCGTGGGTTAGTTCATTCATGGACCAGATCCTACGTCTGCCCGGACGGCGGGATATCCTCGTTGTCAAGCTGTTCGTGTCGAAGCCACGGCGTGCAGCGGATATTGTTAGTCCGTCTGCGACGGTGCTTATGCATGGTGGACGGTGTCGGCCTGAGGTTGTGCTTGATGAGGTTTTGCCGGGGAGGGTTGGAGCGGCGCTTGTTTCGGTTTGTGGGCCTGGGGCTTTTGCAGATGACGTGCGGGGGGCTGCTAGGGGGTGGATTGGACGGGGGGCTGTTGTTGATTTTGTGGAGGAGGCTTTTACTTGGTGATTCTGTGTTTTCTTCCCCTTGGCTTTGGTTGAAGACATTGTGTTGAGTTGTTTAGTGAGCTGTTTTTTGCGTGCATTTTTCATCTATGGATGGTGTGACCGTGTACTGTAATGTTTATATTGTTCTATTTATCTCTGGGGTTACTTCGGTACTCAACATTGAAGAATCATACCATATCTCTTATACATATCTACTCGTACACAAGTAATGTAGGATCATTGAGTCGAACCAGGCTCTAATATATTTGACTATCTAGGGTAAACCCACTATAAAGACCCGATTTAAAGATCGAAGCACACACATTCATAACCAAGTCAATAGAAAAGGCACACTTTGTACAAAATCCGCGAAGAAACAATATAATGCACAAAGAGAGCCAAAAAAGCAATGCAGACGCAAAATCAAAGACAATCACAGAAAGGGCAATCCCACGCTATCATATAGATGAGATCTAATGCAGAGTCTTTTGGGGGGATAGACGCCTGTTCAATGGAAAATGGAGATGAAAGAGAGACAGAAATGAATAGAGAGGGAGATTGAGAGAGAGTACAGAAATGAAAGACATGAATCAAGGTCCAAAGACCATAGGATATAAGATATAAGATAAACCAAGGATGCCCATCCTTACTTCTTGCTGCGCGATCCCTTGGGGACACGAGCAAGCCAGTAGATGAAGACCGCACCGGCAATGTTAAAGATAATGTAAACCCACATGAGACCAAAGTTGCGCCAGGCGTCCTTGTAGTAACTGGACACGCCTTTGAGGAAAGTATCCGTGTCACCGATAGCGCAGTAAGAGCAAGAATCAGTGGCATTGGGGTCGGTGAGATATCCACCGGTTTGCGTCATATACTCAAACAGGTACTGCTTGCAAGTCTGGCCGGAAGGAGGGGCGAAGTGCAGCAACTCGATATCCTCACAGGTCACGGCGGCACCGGCGGTACCGGTGGACAGCATTGCCGAGACGAGGTAGGTGAAAGGCGAGACGCGATACATGAAGATCCAGAAGCCGGGCATTTTGTCCGGGGTTGCGAGGACACCACAGAAAATCAGACACAGGGAGAAGATCAGGTTGGCGATGTTTCCTCCCGTCTCGGCTAGGTCAATACCGGCGATGACCATGTGGGCGAAAGTCGAGGTGAAGAGGAGGAATGTCAGGATCAGCAGCCACATGAGAGCGCCGCGCTCGGAAACTGCGTCTGCGGCTTCGGCGTTGCGGTATAGACCGATGGGGTAGTACCAGCAGACGAAGATGAGCACGGACATCAGAGTGTTCCAAGGGAGTTCGACGAGGATGTTTGCTGTCATAAATGCTTGCCAGGAGTAAGACTTGGAGGGACGCTCGCGCACTTCGTAGAGGGAGCGCTGGGTGACGAAGTGGGGCATGATTTGTTGGACCAAGTTACCGAAGATGGTCATCAGCATGAAGATACTGAACATCTGGTTCTGGAGACCCTGTTGACTGTTCTGGGCGTGGAAGAATGAGAAACCGATGTAGAGGGCAGTGAAGATGCAAAGAGCGGCCTTGGAGTAGATGTAGACGGGGGTTCTCCAGTATTGACTGAAGACACGGGTGAGACATTCCCAGAGTTGAACGGAGAAGGGGGCGGCAAATTCTTGGAAGCTGGAGGCGTCGTTGGTGTTTGTCTCCACTGGCTTCAGAGAAAGATCTGCTTTGAGAGTTGCGAGGTGGTTGTGGACTTCCTTGCGCTCGTCGCTCTCGCGCCACACAGCAGGCCAGTCAATATCACTGTGAGATCCGGGGGCTGCCCCAATAACTTCAAGCATCCATTCGGCGGGGTTAGCATCAGGAGACAGCTTCGGGGCGCCATTCTTCTCAAAGTAGTTGGACAGAGTGCGAGACTGTTCACCAATTTCACCAAAGTAGACGGTTTTACCACCTCTGGCGAGGAAGAGCAGACGGTCGAAACGCTGGAAGAGCATGGCAGAGGGCTGGTGAATGGTGCAGAGAATAGCCTGACCGTGCTTGGTGAGGGTGTCGATGAGATCGAGAATGGACCAAGAAGTCTGACTGTCAAGACCGGAGGTAGGCTCATCAAGGAACAGAAGCAGTTGAGGCTTAGCAGCGAGCTCGACACCAATAGTGAGACGCTTGCGCTGCTCAACGTTAAGACCTTCACCAGGGACACCGACGATGGCATCGGCGTAGTGTTCCATTTCTAGAAGCTTGATAACTTCCTCGACGTAGTCAAGTTTCTCCTGGCGGCTGACGTGGGCGGGTTGACGGAGGACAGCACTGAAGCGAAGGGCCTCGCGGACGGTAGTAGTGTGGAGGTGAAGATCCTGCTGCTGAACATAGCCGGTCTTACGCTGGAAGGACTGGTCGCGAGGACGGCCGTCAACCAACATTTCACCGGAAACAACACCCATAGTCACACGAGTGGCAAGAACATCCAAAAGAGTAGTTTTACCGGCTCCAGAAACACCCATAAGAGCAGTGCAGGTACCGGGCTTGACCCAACCGTCAACGTGGTCCAGAATGCGGCGCTCCTCGTTCTTGATCTTGATATCGTAGCACACGTCTTGCCAGTGGAAGATAGCGGTCTGTCGCTGGATAGCAGCAGTCTCGCTGCCGGACTCGGAGCCGTCCTTCTTCTCCGCAGAGGACACATCAGTCATCTCAATTTCCTCATCAATGCCACCGGTGCGCTTGGGAGTTTGACCGCGACGGAACAGCAGAACCTCGCCCTTTGACTTGGACTCGGAAATGTACTCAGTGCCGATGAGATAGGTAGCCATGAAGAAGATCATAAAGGCAAACATGATACCCAAGTTTCTCCACTTGTGGCTGTTGGAATACTGGAAACTATCCGTGTAGTAATCAGTACCGAATACGACGGGCAAGCCAGCCTTGGCTCCCTTTGTCGAGCACGCCATGTTGTCAAGCGAAGGTCCATTTGGCGGAACAAATGACTTGCACTCAAACGAGCGGCCGTGGAACTCGTTCACGATCAGAGACTCGAAACCGTAAGCAATCGGGTCGATGTAGTTCATCCAGCGAGACCAGCCAAGCATGTTACGAGTGGGAATGGTGAAACCAGTGTAGATCACCAAGCCGAGAATCAAGATGGCAGCGGGCACCAGAGCCTGCGATAGCGTACGCGAGTAAGATGCGATGGTACGGAAGATCATAGACATGGTGAAGGTGGTGACAATGGAGAAGAGGAGGAATGTGAAGAAAGCTCCTGGGGTTTGGCGAAGGCGAGTCATGAAGTAGAGTGGAACGTTGAAAGTGATGGAGTTGAGAAGCTTGTAGGGCACATCACACAACATGGAAGAGATCGCCTCAGCGAAGGGATGGTACATGGCGTAGCGGGCCTGCTTTTCGACAATTGGACGTTGCGCATAGAGAGTCAAGATCTAGATGGGTTAGCGGGGCTTCGTATCAGGGCGGATAGTCACTTACCTCAAGAGCACTGGAGAATGCGTTAAGCAAGACAGCGAAGAACAGAAGCGCACCACGGGAATAGAAACTTGTCGTGTCGTCGGGAAGTTGATAGAAGACGGAGCCAATAATCAAAGCCATAATAAAGTTACCAATAAGAGCAGACATGGTCAAACTGAAATCACCCTTCAGGCGCTGGAAACCACGAAGCACACAAAGGTGAATCTGTTCCATGACAGACATGGTGTAGGGCGACTTGACCCGCGTGTTCTTGGACTGCATTGCCTTGCGAGATGCGGTGAACTTCTGTAGAGCCTCGCCTCCAATAGGGTACTCCGCATCGAACTCGGCGATCTCCGTCATAAGCGCCTGGTAAGCATCACTGTTCTTCCAGGCGGCGGCGAAGTCATCAGGGGTACGAGGAACCAGGTTCTCGAAGCCAGGCTTCACGACACGCTCAGCAGGGCTGGTCAGCGAGGTCAGGAAATCGGCGGTAGTTTGACGGTCGGGGCACTCGAAGCCCATCGTGGTGAAGAACTCCTTGGCCTCGTTGGTGCGACCGAAGTAGATCTGGCGACCCTCGTACAGGACGGTCACCTTATCGAAGACATCGTAGGCACTCTGGGAGGCCTGGTAGATGGCCACGGCACAGGTAGTACCCGAGTACTTGGCCATCAGGTTTAGGGTCTTACAGAACTCCAAAGCATTGGCACTGTCCAGACCACGGGTACTGTTATCCCAGCACTGAAGAGGACTACCACAAAGAGTGGCCTCGGCGATACTAACACGCTTACGCTCACCACCGGAAACACCACGGATGAAATCGTTACCAACCTGGGTGTTCATGGTGTGCGACAAGCCCAGCATGGCCATGACGACATCACGCATGTGCTCTGCGTACTGGTCGCGGCTGACACCGGGCAGACGGTTACGCGGTGCACGCGAGAGAGCGGCGAACTTCAAGGTGTCTCCCACAGAGAGCTGGGGGAAATGCACATCGGTTTCGGCCGTGTAGATGGCCTCACCACGGAATTGGCTCTGCATCTGCTTATCGGAGATACCCTGGTAGTTCATGTGAGAGTTCTCGCCTTTGTGAATACCGTTCATCTCGCCAGCGATGGTCTTCAAGAAGGTCGAACATCCGGATCCGGGACGTCCAAGGACAACGAGCATCTCGCCACTCTTGATGAGACCATCGAAGTCGCGTAGAATCTGAATCTTTTGCTTTCCAGTGCCGGCCATGCTCCGGAACAAGGCACCAATCTGCAGCACCGAGTTGGCAACATCCTTCTGGTAATCTGTAGGGCTACCGAAGCCGTGTACGCTGAGGTTCTTGAACCCAAGACCAGCCTGGCGCTTGGGGTATCGTTCTTCATCGCGAGAGTGGATGGCAAGGAAGTTCTTCATCCAGTTCTTGGCCTTGAAGTTCTCGCTGTGGGGGTTGAGGGTCGAATCCTCCTGCGTCTCGAGGAATGTGTTCTCGGCGGTGTTGCCAGCAACAGAGAAGCGCGTCGATTGGCGAGTGAGTTCGCGAGCCAGATACGTAACCTGGGCCTCTATCTGCTCCTCATTTTCGACCTCGCTCGCGCTGCGCTTGCTCTTCCCGGCTTTCCCTAGCTTCTCGGACTTGTCGCTCTTGCCAGCCTGGACAGACTCGTGGTAACTGGCATTGTCAGGGACGATGGTCTCCTCACTGAACACACTAGGCGTTACACTGGCCCGCGGGTCGTGTCTGCGGGTCTCTGTCGTCGCAATATGCGTCTCATCCATCTCGGAGCTGGTGGCATTGGAGCTGAAAGCCCCTGTCCCTAGCATAGACATGTCCATGGTGGCTTGACCACCTGTTTGTTGCCAAGGGGTGAAGTATGTGGGGACTCAAAAAAGGGATATAAGGGATAATAGGAATTAAGCGATCACCATGAAAAGAAGGGGGTGATCAAATATTAGAATATTAAGAATATGGCAAAAGAACGAGGGAAAATGGCTAGGCGGCCATACACGAGTTTTAAAGAAAGTGAACAGGATGTAAGATCTGGACACAAATCGGGAGCGGGAAAGATGCATCCTTCGCCTCCGGCACAAAAAATGGGGCATCCCGTCTATCCTAATCTGACCGGGGCGGAGCTTCGATCTTACCGAACATATCAGGGCTACTAGTGGTCGATGATCGACTCACACACGAACAGGTTTGTTTATCTGACGCAATTATTGAATATCCAATATCCTATCCTATGACTCTTACTCTTACTCTCCGCGTTGAATTACACATTGCGTAAAAAGCAAGGAAAAAGGTCGGAGGTATATGCAAGTGTAATGCTAGTACATGTTAAACAGGGGAAAACAAAACTCTGAATACCGGGCCGAGCGCCCTCCGAACCAAGTCTCTGCGTGGCGTTTTATACGCCCCGGATGCGAGTAGCTCCTGTATCCGTGCTGACTCAGCAGGTGACTCAGCTATCCCCTATGTTTCACGGACCAAACTTGGGCAAACCGGGACTTTATCCACTGCATAACCTTATCTCCGACAAGGTCCAAAACACTAAAGTAATTAAGGTATATTGGATTATTTGGTCTTACTCCCATGGACGAATTCGGCCGAATTCGGCGGAGTCATACTCTGTACTTGGCATACTTATGGGGTTTATGGGAAAATTCTGACGTCCATGCGCGGTGTCAGATTTCGCTATCCTTGCATACGGAGTACTGTAGAGGATTGTATTCTTGGCACGCCATCCACGAGGTCTGGCCTGATTCATTAAGTTAGGCTACCGTCATACGGTACCCGGACATTGCCAACAGACATTGCATATTCTGACTCAGTCGTGAGACGGACAAAGCCGGGGGAATGATCTAGACAGAACAGACCCTTAAGCGGTGTGGGTTGCATACTCCGTACATGTGTAGAGGTCAATAGGACATATCAGTTGCTCCATCTTCGTCTTCATCTTCCTCAATGGGCTCCACTAGCAGATTTCCACCGCGGCCGATCTTCTCTCCAATTGAACCGCCTTCCTCCACGGGGTACACCGTCCGGGGCATCGGGGAAACCAATCGAAATGTGTATTGATGCTCGAACCCTTCAGGTTCAGTCGCCTTAGGTTGCTCTGAATCCTGTAAGACCTCGTAACACTCCACAACCGCATAGAGCTCTTCCATGTCCGCACTGGGAGAGAACTTGCGCATGATCCGCTCGCCGGATGGGAGCCGAACGCTAATCCGCACGGCATCCTTCACATCGGGTCCGGGCTCTGCGCTAAGGGACTGTGCGCGCCAAACCTTCCACTGAGCGAGGTCGCGACGCTGCCGCTCCTCCGCCGCTTGGCGGCCGACAGCTTCCTGTTCTTCGCGTTGACGCGCTGCTTCGGCTTCCCGTCGCTGACGGGCTCGCTCCCTGTCGATCGCCAGCGACCGCTCGTAGGCGGAGTCTTGTTCTTCGCGGAGGCTGCGCGAGGCTTGCTGCTCGGCGCGGGAGGATCGCAGTCGCTCGATTGGTTCTTGGTTCGAGGAGGCGACTGTCCGGAGCTTGTTCACAACCTCAGATGATGACGTGATACCTGCGATTCTGCCCACGACTGACATAGCGGTTGATGACACACTTGGGGTGTGGACGACGACTGCTGCAAAGGGGAATTTCGTCACGCGCAACGAATTGGCTACCTGGTAGGCCTCAGAGTCCTGCACATTACCTCCCCATACCAGCATGTTGTTTTGAGGGTCGTTGATGAACTCCAACACTTCCGGTGCCAACAGAGTATCATGGACCCAGCTATTCGTATCGTCGTGCTCTGGAGCCAGTAGAACGACCAGTAGGAACTTCAAGTCGCGGTGGGCTTTCTCTAGCGCCATATTGTATCCATTCTCCAGGAACGGGATCGGGTGAGAGCCATACTCCTCTTCAAACTCACGGATGAATCGTGCGGCTGTATCCTTGGGGGCCAGGGTCCGACGGCCAGTGGTATTCCGGCGAGCACCTTGCAGTGCGGGGTTTGCGGTCGCATTGAACAAGCGTGGCAAGAAAGGGAATAACGTCCCAAATAGGCGGAAAGAACTGCAGAGGAGTCTGTAGACTAGATTGAAGGGGGTGAAAAGTAGGGCAAGGATGAATGGCGGACGGTAAACGGGTTGATCTCCGGATTGTGTGTCAACTCGCGGGGCGGGGTCTGTAGCACGAGCTGCGCGAGAAACCCGAGACAGTTGTTCAGTCAGGTCTTCAGTCATGAGGTTCTGGGTTCTTCGGGTTGGTTGCGGAGGCGGCGTCTGATGAAGAGCTGAACGCGCCTCTTCGAGCGGATCGGGGCCTTCCCCGTCGAAGAACTTGGATATGGCGATCTAGTTGCGGGGTCAGTCAGGAGTTCAATATCGCACAAGAATAAACCAACCTGAACATTCCATTGGGACCGTCGCAGTAGAGGAATTGCTTCTGAAGTTTCCTGGCTCGTCACGGCCATGTACGTCTCTAGCGCAGTTCTCTCGCTCTCCGAGAGCTGGTCTAAGTCGAGCTCCGAGGACATGGCGACGATGAGCTGTCCATACAAATAAAAGAAGTTGAAAGATCACAATACATCCATAAAGACAGTAGACTGGCAAGTACTAGACTCAGTAATTTGGAGAGGCAATGACGAAGCTGGCCTTCGAGCTCACTGACGTCCTGACCGCCTGGTCCGTGCGCTATCCCCCTTCACTCGAGTTCGTCCGTCGCCCCGCGTCTTCATTTTCATCCGTACTGTCGCTCTCAATCATTCTCTGGGATGAGAGAGGGCCTTGGACTTATATTTATTCATTCATGCCTATTGTTATCGGCAGAGTTCCCGACCTCCGTGGGTGATCCCGGAATTGACCCGCCGTCAATCGTCAAAACGCGTTTGATATCAGATCGAAGGGGAATGCGGTTTCCTCTCGATATCATCCTTTGCTCCACACCGAGTCTGGTTTCAATGGGGATCTTCTTGCGCTGATCCGCACCGTCTCGTGGACATCAGTCATACACCATGGCATCTGCCGGAAAGCCTCCACTGGAGGATGCTCGTCGAACAACCGGTTCGCCGAAAATGAAGAGCCGAGGTGAGCGCAAAGTCATCGACGGTCCACTCACTTCTTCCTGAAGGGATTCACCCAAGCGAGATGGCCTGAGCAATCCGAACGCATATGCCGGCTCTGTGATGACGCTAACAAGGAGCTTCCCAGAGAATGCGAAAGAGACTCTGTGTCGCAACGTGACGATATACGGGCGATGCCGCTATGAAGATAAAGGTATTGTCGACCCTGTTCACGCCATGGGTAACGTGAATGTTGAAGCTGATCTGGATTCCTCCAAGGCTGCGCTTTCAACCATGACCCAACAAAACTGAACGCCAATCAATCGGACAGGTGAATATGGCGGTGCAATATCGGTCATTCCATGAACAAGCGCTGACTGGACTTCTTGCGCTTGGTAGCAAGAAACGCTTCAATGTAGACTCACCCAGTTTCACACCATCTTTGCTCTCTGGAAATGGCGTGGCTGGCCCAAAGAAGTCGACTGCGATATCCCCCAAAGCTGCCAGTGCAGCTCCCTTTCAGCCCCGAGGTGCCTCATCACGTATGTGGTCAACGGAGAGAAATAGAGAGATACCGACTGACATAACAAAGGATCGAACACAAGTACGCCTGGACTGCGAGCAGAAGCAGGAGGAGAGTGGGCGGTGGCAGACGTCCAAGAATTTGTCCCCCAAGGGTTCGAGCACGTGGTAAGTTGCAAGTCGAATCTCCAGTCGTTCTTGCCACCCTCGTCTTTCCTTTTTGGGAAAGGGGTCTTGTTGTTGTTTTCTTCGCGCTCTCGATCTCCCTGCCGTCAGCAATATCATCTTCCCTTTGAATTGTCTCGTATCACTCCGTCAAGATGGATGGAGGCTTTCCCAATATGTCTACAAGCAGCTTGAATGTTCTGGCCGAGGATTTCGATCCTATCCCAGAACACCATCGTCCCAACTACCGCAGCTCCAGCCTCGATCCTAACTTTCGCTTTTCGAACATGGGCCCTCCTACTAACTACCCTGTCCAGGCCTCTCTTCCAGGCAATGGCAATGGTGCCATCACGTCCCCGAATGCCTTTGATCCCTTTGTGGCTGCCCCATCTCCTATGACCCCCGGAGCAGTCGGTTCTGTCTCGGCCAACCCTTACGCCCATGACCCAGCTGCCATGGGAGGCGCATTCTTTGCGAACCAAGCTGGGTTCCAGCAGCCGGTAGGTTGATACGCGTATTTGCCGTGGCTTCGGATTACTTACGCTGCAGCAGGTCCAGTACCATCTCTATGCCCCCATCGGCCCTCATAATCAGAACACTCTAGGATATCAGCGAAATGTCCATGATCTCTTTCTTCCTAACGATCTCCGTGAAGAACTGCAGAAGAAATCTGCGGCTACCCTGCAGACCCTCCCCAGTATGTTAAGCCGCCCCTCACAATCGGAATCAGACTAACAATTCTAGACACCAACCTCCCTCCTCAAGTTGACTACTTCCACTCCCTTGTTCCGCTGGATCTTAATCATCAGAAGAATGCTGCGACCTTTGGCTACCCGAGCTGGATCTACAAGGCACAGTCTAGCAAAGATGGTGACTTTTATGCCCTTCGGCGTCTTGAGGGTAAGAGAATGTCCAATTTTATCTTGAATTTTGACTGACCAATATAGGTTTCCGCTTAACCAATGAGAAGGCTATCCGGTCGGTTCAGGCCTGGAAGCGTGTTTGCAGCGGAAGTGTGGTGACTGTCCATGATGCTTTCACCAGCCGGAGCTTCCAAGACAGCTCTTTGATTGTTGTTACCGATTACCATCCCCTGTCCAAGACACTTGCAGAGCAGCATCTGAGCGCTGGAGCCCGCTACCAAAACCGAGGCCAGAACGCTCCCATTCCTGAGCAGGTGCTCTGGGGCTACATGACTCAGATCGCGAATGCACTCAAGGCCATTCACTCGCAGGGTCTTGCTGCCAGAGTTCTTGAGCCAGGCAAGGTCTTGCTTACCAGCAAGAATCGCATTCGCTTGAACGCCTGTGCTGTTCTGGATGTGGTGCAGTTCGACTCCCAGCGGACTGTGGATGACCTCCAGCGCCAGGATCTGGTGAATTTCGGACAATTGATTGTCACTCTGGGCGCCAACACCCCTACCGTCATGCACAACCCTACCAAGGCCATGGAGCATTTCACCCGTGCTTACAGCCCGCAGATGAAGAACTCTGTGTTCTGGCTGCTGAGTGGACTGCAAAAAGATCAGGAGCGAACCATCGATACTTTTATTACTGGAATCTCATCTCAGCTGATGTCGACTTTTGACTCGGCTCTTCACATGGATGATCAGCTTACCTTTGACCTCAGCCGCGAGCTGGAGAATGGACGACTTGTGCGCCTGATGGCCAAGCTCAACTTCGTCAACGAACGCCCTGAATATGAATTGGACCGGCAGTGGTCTGAGACTGGAGAACGTTACTTCTTGAAGATGTTCCGCGATTTTGTTTTCCACCAGGTGGATGCCCAAGGTGATCCGGTGCTTGATCTGGGACATGTTTTGATGTCCCTGAACAAGCTTGATGCGGGAACTGATGAGAGAATCACTTTGATCAGCCGTGACGAGCAAAACATTTTCATTGTTACTTACAAAGAGCTGAAGAAGAGTCTTGAGTCCTCCTTCCAGGCTCTCATGAAATCAGGAAGACGGATGCATTAGCCTGGAACTCGACGTCTTCGGTGGTCTTCGGACACGCAACGCCACGATTGCGATTTGCTTGTTTTTTTACCTCCAAACCATTGCCATACCCGCCCATGCTTGGCAAATGCCAGCCCGGTGGATTGCTGTCTAGGATGGAAATGGTGTTACATGTTTCATTTTGCAACCAAGTTGCCATTGATGTAATGGAAATAACAACCACATAAGAATGAAGAAATTCAAATACTGCTTACAGGTAGACTAGATACTGTAGTGTCTACAGTTCCGAGTTCTCACTCTATTCGCCATTCAAAATCCCTGAACATCCACCAATCCAATGCTTGGCCAGGCATACGTCCGTCCACGCCCACCATCACCGTCGCCTTCACTGCTATGCATGCCCATACATCTACCCATCAATATACCGATACACCGTCCATCCCCAGTATAAAATAAATCAAGGATTGTAAGCAATTATAAGCAGCCAGTACTCCGGCAGATATCTCTAGCTCCCTGCCGATAATCTACTCGAAGCCTTTAAAACCAAGATATATGGATGCACGGTACTACGCACTTCAAGCTATTCCATATGCAAGTCTACTGTTGACTTGTTGCCTGAAGGAAACGGAAAACATCGAAGACAGTCGAAAGAAGTACCACTTACTCTGATTCAACTTATATTCAATTTCATAGCTCTATCTACACCTAATCCAAATCAGGCACAGGCAACCCATTAACAATCTTAACCTTCCGACCCAGCTTATCCAGCGCAACCTTGGAATTATAAGCGCGCAACTGGCTAGTCTCCTCATCGGAAACAAGCACAAAGTCATAAGTGAGCAAAGCATGTCCTTCAGGGACATCATACTTCTTCGACAATTCAGGCCCGACCTTTCCAATATCAACGGTAAGGGAATCCTTAACGCCGAAGACAGCATCCGAAGTCTCATAAGGATCATTTCGAAGATAGAGAGCCCTGTATAAATCAGCAAATCGTCAATCCAAACAGAAAGAAGAGAGAAACCCACGTAATCAAATGATCATACCCCTCCTTCTCAAACATGAAATGCATATGCGAAGGCCGGTACGGATGCCGATGCAACTTCTTCAACAACCTTCCAACAGGCCCATCATGCGGAATAGGATACGGCACGGGCGTAATCGCCTTGAACCAAAACACGCCATCACTCCCAGACCGCATAATACAACGCCCATCAGGCCCTTCCCGTCCAGCATACTGAACATCATAATGACCCGATGAATCCGTCTCCCAGATATCAATCTTAACACCCTCAACAGGTCGTCCCTCCGTATCACGTAGGGTACAAACAACAAGCAAAGGTTCACCCTTGGGGTCGTGGGACATGGAGTCTCCGGCACTCATTTCCTCGGCATCGTGCGTGTGGAACGGACCGAGGACTGTGCCTTCTGTTGAGCCTGGTGGTTTGGGGTGGTCGATTGAGTCGACGAGAATTGAGAGGCCCAGCACATCAGACAGGAGGATGTATTCCTGTCGCACTTCTGTGGTGATTTGGCCCACTTCTGTTAGGAAGCGCAGGCCGGTCATCCATTCGTCGCTGCTGAGTCGGGTTTCGCGGGCAAAGTCGTGCAGGTGGGTTACTAGGCGTTCCAGGATGTATTTCATGCGTTCGTCTTCACAGAGGCTATTGATTCGGATTACATTTTCCGTTATATTGTCCACTGTTAGGTTTTTCATGGGGGGGATCTTGACTTGGGAGGGATCCATGGTGTCGGCGGCAATGTCGATGTCAATTGGGGGTTGTAAGAGAGGGGAGGAGAGAAAGAGAGGAAGTCTGGAGGTTACAGGAGTTATATCATGACTTTTAGTTCGGATTTATGGCATTCGGCAGTTCCGACGGGAGACAGCCGAATTGGTCAATCAGCAACTGTCGAAAAGAAATCAACACCCCGCACCCCACTCGGGTATCCCCCGCCAAAGCTACACTTCCATATGGTAGCTATGCTGGAATTAACCACTTGACATGCAAAACTATAACTATATGGATAAATTATATCCAGAGTAAAGCCGGATATGGCAGAGAGTATATCCGAAGGCCCCACACTTGGTCATCTCTCACTAAGCATTGCGGGGTATGATTAAGTTCTTTATAAGATCAGTTAGGGCTAGGAGTAGACACAGTACATGTACTATCTAAGGAGTAATTTATACACAGTAGAAGTGGAATGGATAATTATGACTAAAAGATAAACGCTAATGATATTCAGGGATATATGACAGAGTACACAAACACCGAATCCCACCAAATTCGCCAAATACAACCTATATGAACAAAGAAGCAAAAGTAGAGAAGTAAAACATAGGCATAACGAAACTTAAACAAGGTAGGACAGCAGACACAATCTATGCCTGGACCATGCGACGGTCCCGGTCACGATCTCGGTCATGGTCATGATCGTCTACCTTCCGCGCTTGAGAGTGAGAATGGGAGTGAGAGTGAGAATGAGGATAAGCACCAAGGCTAGGGCCAGGACCAGCACCAGCACCAGCATTGACATCAACAGCAGCAACACCAGAAACCGGCACAGGACCACCCACACTCGGGTTCGAGCTCGGGTTCTCCACAGCGCGCTCGGCACCACGTTCCTTCTCCTGCACAGCAGCCGCTACACGAGTATGATGATCAACCGTATCAAGAATAGCCTGCATCAAACGCTGATTCGCATCAGGGTCCTCCTCTTCAGGCCGAGAGACACGAGCAGCAGCGGGAACACGACGATCAGGATGATCCCGGCCCCTCCCCTCCGTCTCACTAACAGCACGACGAGGCGAGTTATCTGTTGAGGGTAATTCCATGGGAACTTTAGAACCAGGAACAGGGTTTGGAGCAGAAGGGGCGGACTCGCGTCGACCGTTGTAGTAGGAATTAGCATCTGCGACGGAATCGAATGGTTGTTCGCGGATACGTTCACGTTCCGCGGAGATGGGAGGCAAGGGACCAAGACCGAATTGGGGTGGGGTGATGTTTGCGCTGGAACGGTCTGTTTCCATGCGGTCGTGGGAGACGGAGGCGGTCGTGGTTGATGCGCGCATTGCTGCGACTTCGTCTTCCTTGACATCGCGCCAGGAACACTTGGCGTGTTTCTTGGTGCAGCCTACGCAGGCAGTTAAGTTCTTAAGGCAATCCATGTGGAGACGGCGGCAGCGGTCGCAGGGTGGGATGACGCGCTCGCCGCGTTGGAGTTCTTCCATGCGGGCGATCATTTCGAGCTTGAAGGGACCACCGTCGTCTTTTTCTTGGTGGGTTGCTTTTGGTGGGGGGAGGAGGGAGGAGGGCGTGTTTGGGATGGCGACTGGGATTGCGGTGGCGGCGGTGTAGGGGCTGAAGTCTGCTGAATCGGAGATGCGAGCTCGAGGGCGTGGTTGAGGGTGCGCTGGGGGTGCGCCAGTGTCGTCGTAGCCGCGGGCTTGGCGGTCTGCTGTTGTGAAGAACTTCTTCATCAGGTCTGCACGAGTAGTGGGAGAGGCGCCTTTTATCGAGGTCCCATTGATCATAGTTACATTATCCGTATTGGAGTGGGAGAACATGAACTGTGATGAGAGTGGGTTCTCTTCGTGCTCGCCTTCAGGACGGTGGGCATTGACGGCGAGGAAACCAGCTGGGGAGGCATGAGAGGATGCAGCACCATTGACAGGGCCATAGACGTTGGGATCACGCCAGATGTCGGCGCTCGGTTGAGTTGACGAATGTAGAGTGGCATCATTCTCTCGGCGAGTGACAATCGCGTTACGGCGATTCTTCAGACGATGGTTAAGCTGTCTAGCTCGAGCGGACACTAGACGAAAGCTTGTCAGTGGACACCTCCAAACATGGCATGCAACACCTACCCTGATCAGCCATCTGAGTGATATGCTGCAAGTTCTTCTCGAGAATCTCCAGCGCACCCAACTCCTTCTCCTCATCCTCGATGATAGGCTGGGGCGGGATCATCTTCTGGGGCATGCCAGAGGCAATCAAGACGAAATCCTCCTCGCTGATCTCCACGCGACACTGCTTGGTGTAAAACTGACATACTCTTACACCATTGCGCGACTTCTCCAGGTTGAACTGTTCTGGCTTATTCTTCGCAAACTCAACCACATCCAGCCAGGTCACTGTGGGACCGTCCTTGCCATGCGACTTGAGAACTTGCGGCGGGCCATCGAATAGACGCTCGAATCGCTTGATCAAGATCGGGCCCAACGGACATGCGCCAAGATTGCCGGCGATGCTTTCATGGCGGTGTAGCACGCCGTCGTATTCACCGAGCAGATGAATGATCGCGGGCATCGTATCATCAACAGAAACCAGCGGGAGATTATCGGGGTATTGGCGCGCGAGGTAGTTGATCTGCAGGTGGCTCGAGAGGGTTTTCTGGACTTTCGACGAGGCAACATGATCGGCGGTGGGAGACCGGGGCCGTTTGTTAGATGGTTCCGGGGCGTGAGAATCCATCTGTGGATTGGGGTGGGCGTGGAAACCCGGGAGTGGAGGGTTTATCTCGGGGGTGGAAGGAATGGGGGGAATGGAGTGTAGGGAGGAAAGGTGACAGCGGAAAGGGTATAACAGCGCGGAAAATATTGAGCGCGCGGATAAAAACCGGCGTGAATTCAAGTTGGATCCGAAACTACATTCATGGGTTAAAGAGGAGAAAAAGTAAGAGAAGAAAGAGAGGAAAGAGAGGAAGCGCCTATCTCGACGGAACAGCGCACGGGAGTGGAGAGGAAAAACGTGATCTTTGACTGCCCCAATCCTTTGGCCCCGGAACTGATGGGAATTTGTTTAATTTTCTTTTAATACGGAAATTGTGGGAAACTGCCAATTCCTATTGCAATGGCGACTGGACCAGTATCGTACAATAGGCCCTTTCGGTACCTAGTACATTCCCAGCGGAGTCCCGCCGGAGGGTTCCGCTGAGATGCAATACGCTCTATATGCACCTCTATATGCAACTCTATAGCCTTACCTAGCCACTACACAATCTACAAGTAATCCAGAGCT